TTATATGATTAGAATACACATTTAATTTAATATGTAGAAATTCGTTACTTTAAAACTGGAAGGACCTTTGAGTAAATTATTTAATTGCAATGCTTTTGCNTGTAAAATTGGTCCTGAAATTGGTTGTCCTACCGCTCTTACTTGAAGAAACCATGTAAATAAACATTCTTCTAATGTTTTGTTTTTGATTACTTGTTCACTTCTTTTATTCTGGAAGTTTTTTTTATTTAATACTATTTTGTTAATGTTCTCTTTGTTTTTTATGATGTCAAAAAAACATGTTTTAGAAATTCCATATGTTTTTAAAATATCATCTTTTGTTTTTCCTTTTTCGACTTCTTTCAAAATCGTAATCTTGTCTACGTATGTTATACGTTTTCTTTTTACATTAATCGAGTTTGCCATGATACACAAAGAAGTGTTGATATATATTTGTTAACAATACATATGATGGAACACAACAGGACGCAATTGTATACACACGATCTGCACACACACGACCCATGAGAGATTACTTGTTACTGCGTAACGTAACCTAAGCAATGCTGCGCGCTGCGCCCGCTTTGAAAGGCACACAGCACTGAGCGGTAAGTCCCCTCTTATGTTCCGGAGGCGGAACTTTATGCGCATGGAAGGGATGAGTCCGCTATTTCGCGATCCGCTATTCCGAGGTTCCACTGTATATTGAGAGTTGTAATATTTTCATATTGAGCTAGTTTTATTCGCAGTACAATACGATGGTAGAGCTGCAAGTGCTATAGAAGAAGAGGAAAATAGTATTGAACAGATAGGTAGCGATAATAGAAAAAGGTGCAACAGCGACACCGGTAACACCGTCGACGCCGCCACTACCGCCGCAGACACCGACAGCACAGCTGACGACAACGACGACGACAACAACAACAACACCGCTTGACGCTACAACGATACCGACAGCGTAGCTAGCGATAACGACAACAACGCCAATCAAGCCAGTGAGGATGATAATAATAATAACAATTATAATTATGTAATTTTACGGGCGGAAAACTCACGTAGATTTAAAAGATTCGGGATAATAGGGAGAGAGGCAATGTTCGAGATCCGCGAAATTCGACCGTGCGCTGAATTAGTAAAATAGATGGAGGGTGCATTTCGCGAAATCCACAGATACGCGACAAATTTATTGAGGCCGAATGATTACGTCGGGGTATGGTTTGATTTCCCGACTTTAACCGGCTCCCACCACTTCGGTGCTCTTGGTGCTAGCCTGCCAGATCTTTCATCACTGACCAGTGGTGCAGGTCTCTCTTTCCGTCTTGCGCGCGACTTGACTCATGAGAATATTTGGTCTCTCGTGAGTTCAGTTGCACAAAGCAACGGAGGAATAGACATCGCTGCATCGTTTACGATTCGCGTATGCACCATCCACTCTCCAACGGAAAGAGGCCGTCCTCTGGACGAGGAAGGAATCGGAAAACGCTCGATTCTTACAATAACAAACCGTGACAACCTTTGCTTCCCCGCTTACTTGTTGCCGCACGAGTATACCTTGAGCGAGGTAACGCCCGTACGGGCGAGCTGCATGAGCGCTGGAATGCAATGAGACGCTCAAACTCCTCCTTACAGCGCCAATGGGTACGGGAGTTGGTGGAGAGAGGGCGTCTTAATTCCGGAGGAGGGATGCGGTATTGGGGAAATCGAGCGTTTTCAGCATTATCTTACCGTCGAGGGGATAGCCATAATTGTATACAGGGTGTCCCGGAATTGGTTTAACATCTCTCCTAGACAGATAGAAGAAATAAAACTAAGGTGAAAAGTCTTTTACCATTTTGCTAGATTCGCAATAGTTACCGAGATTTTAATTAACAAAGATCCGCGAATAAGCGTGCATCGGGCTGTCTTACGCGCGTAGGACAGCCCGGTGCGCTTCACACAATTACATTTTAATATG